TGTCATAAGACATTCTCGCAAAACACCCACGGTTTTAGTAACGCAGTAACGCAGCGTTCCTACGGGAAAGTAACGGTAATCTAATTACCGTTTTTGCAATAGTAATCCCTTACTTTACTCGTTACTTGAAAAAAGTAATCGGATTACAGTAACGCGTTACAAGTAACGTGTTACTGCCCATCTCTGGCCATAACCCATCTTCACTACAGGGAGGGAGGGAGGGAGATCCCTTACATTACAGTTCATGTACAGTTTAATAGCATTCCACTCGTTTCCTTTTTGAATTTAACACCAACCTGTGTGTCATTTCTCCTCAGTGCTGACTTCACTGCTGGGCTGCAGACCCTCCCAAGGTTGGTGCGTTTTGCAAACGCATGAATAAACCACACAGCACTTTTCTGTGTAACATTTTTTTCAGTGTGGCTCCAGCCATCAGGGGTCTGTTTGCTCTGGATTTGCAGTATTTGCTGCAGTTACTCTGCCTGTTGCACTCTATACGACCACCTGAGACTTTTAGCTGTTAAAAACAATCATTTACAAAAATAAGTATTATTTTTATTGCAATTTTTTTTATTTCACTCAACTTTACTTCAGTTCTGTGTCTTGCCGTCAGTGCACATCTGTTCATTGGTACATTTACATGCTTACAACAGGTGACCTATTTAACTTTCCCCGCTGCCTGTTCATACTAAACAGTCAACATGGCTAAAGTTTCTAATAACGAGATACGTATAAGTAATTCCTGTGAGCCAACATCTCAGGCTTCAGACTGCACTAAAAAGCTTCTGGTCCAGCCTTGTGTTTGTGAGGAACAACCAGTGAGAAGACAGATGACTTCTTGTTTCATACATGCACTATATGCACCAAAACCCAGGATCACACACCATGAATTGTAAGCTGTGCCATTTCCACTCTTACAAGAAATAAAGAGACCACAAATATAATTACATGACACATAGGTCACATGGTTGTAATGTGAGTCTCATGAGGAGGATTGCTTTTTGTAGCTGTCCCTTGTCATTTTGTTTAGTTTTGTTTTATAATTCTGTGTCTCTGTATTGTTGTTTAGTCTCCCTGTGTTTTGTTTCATTTATTGTTCTGTTTCTGTTTCTGTTTTATTTTTGTTTCCTGTAACTAAGCCCTGTCATTCTGAAACAAGAAAAAGCAGTTGTAGGACCTCCTCAGTTGAGGTTGAGGTGGCTGAAAAAGCTGCTTGCAGAAAAACAGCAACAGTATTCAGGGTAGAGCAGCCTGTAAATAATGTGTCTTTTAAAACATTTGTCAACCCTTCATAGAAGGGTAACAATTTCACTTTATGTGTGCTTTAACTGAAATCAGCTGAGATGACCAATGTTTGGATGTCTTCTTCTGATGTTTTCCTCACAGCGCGTCTGACTGTGAGTCCCAGCAGCTCTCAGTTTTTCCAAGGAGACTTTGTGACTCTGAGCTGTGAGGAGGACGACAGCTCTGCTGGATGGACTCTGAGGAGAAACACAAGCAAAGAAACCAGAACTGAGTGTGGAGATCACAATCAAGAATGGGGAGAGCCACCTGGTTCTTCCTGTAACATCAGTTACACTGACAAAGTTGACAGTGGAGTTTACTGGTGTGAGTCCAGAGAGGGTCCCATCAGTAACATGGTTAACCTGACAGTCACTGGTAAGCTGAGTGTGTGGAGTTAGTGTTGATGAAGCTGTGTGTAAATGGATGAAATGCTGTAGTTTGTCTCTGTGTTGAGGTGGATCAGTGATCCTGCAGAGTCCTGTCCTCCCTGTGATGGAGGGAGATGACGTCACTCTGCTCTGCGAAGAAAAGAATTCCTTCAACCTCACAGCTGCTTTCTATAAAGATGGCTCCCTTATCGGCAACGAGATCACAGGTCACATGATCATCCAGCATGTTTCCAGGTCTGATGAAGGCCTCTACAAGTGTGACATCAGCGGTCATGGAGAGTCTCCATCCAGCTGGATCACTGTCACAGGTGA